GGGGGGGGGGGGGGGAGAGAGAGAGGGCCCAGAGTCCGGGAGTTCGCTGTGGAAATCCCTGCTCTAAAACAGTGCGAGGAGCTGTGGATTCAGAAACTGTGTGTGTAGACCGAGAGCGGGGCCGGCAGAGTTCGGTGAGGGAGGGAAAGGTTTCCCATCCCCGATGTGGACGGCCGGGCCGTGAAACGACGCTGCAAATTTCAGTCATTTAAACTTTCCTTGTTGCGTCAGTTTGCTGGCCCTGTCACTGTGACTGTGTTAAACTGGGCCTGAAAGGTGCCTATGAGCAGCAGTATCTACACTGATGGTTTCATTGGGAGTCTTAGAACTACAATTCTGTTAAACGATAGTATTGCGCTCAAATTTTTCGCCCACAACTTTTAAAATCGATTACATGTTGTAACTTTTCCCCTTATTTGATCAGTAGGGCAGTGGTAAGTATGTTCTTACGAGTTACGTTATTGGTCTCACCCAAGAATATCCAAATTACAAACCTATGCAGTTTTGACCCTTTGTACATTGGCTCCAACCGTTTCTTATTTCGTTATATTTGTTAGTCATCAGTTGTTTTTTTTGTCATGTTTTCTGTTTTACCCTTCTTTGCAAATGGTAAACCTTCTGCCTGAATGTCATAGTACAGGCTATTCTAGTGCAACAAGAGTAACTGAGCACTCTAAAGTCTGTGATCTATCTGTGTCAGGCTCTCAATTTTTCCACAATGACTGGAAATTTCTGGTTGTTTTCCACTTCGCTTTCATGTAATGTAAATGTACTGTTCCATAGATTATCTTATATAATAGGATATTGCGTGACTAATGCTAAATGTTTTCACCCATGAGGTGACCATTGCAAAACTGACTTTGCAACTGCTAAGGTGCTTGATAATCTCTAAGACAATTTTGCCACATATTAAAAAAAATGCAGGTTAAAAAAATTGCAAAGTGCTGGTTTACTTTCACAATACAATTTTAATTATTTAGGTGGTTAACTAACTTTATAATGTGTTAATACCCTTTTATGTAATGCATATTTGTCATGTAAATCTTCCTAACAGTTTGGTTATGTGTTGGTATTGCATCATGGTTGCAGCATGATTAAAAACATTTGTCTCAAAACATCAGTGTCAAAAGTGTTACGTTAATTAATGTTCCAACTGGGAATTCCCAATTTTGTATAACACTGGGTGGGGGTAGTCTGTATTGGCATTCCTATGAAGATGAAATCTATTGGGATTTTAAAGCTGTGACATTGAAATGCTTACCAAGCAATGTAGGAATGGCAATCCTTGTCTCCTTAGCCAAATGTCATGTCATGTGTCCAGGCTGAAAACAAAAAGTGCTGAAAATCACAGCAGATCAGGTAACAACTCTGGAGAGAGAGCAAACCTACGTTTCGAATCTAGCAGTTCTGATGAACAGTCATCTAGACTTGAAAATTAGCTTGCTGTCTCACCATGGATGCTGCTTGCCTCACTGTGATTTCCATTATTTCTTTAGTTTTCAGTCCAAATTCCAGTATCTGCAATAATTTGATCCTATCCTATGTCATGTATCCAGGAATTGACTTGTGCATTTTGTTCAAATTGTTCCTGGTGGGGAAAAATAGACTTCGTTAGATTATTGAGTACTTTGCCCTGATCAGTACTTGCTTTCTTTCATTAGAAATTAACCTTTTAATCATGGCTTCCATGTTGGGTCACACGTTCAGAAATATCCCAATCAGTGTGGCATGGGCAGCAAAGTTAAGTAAGTATGTGAACAATACTATTTTGCAATATATTCATTTCCAAAACAACAGTTCTTAATGAGATTTAACTGCCAGTTTCTGCTGATATCTTTTCTTGGGTACCAAGATCCTACCATCACTGATTTTGCTAACCAGACGGCCACATCATTTGCTAAAATTCCATGCTATGGAGTTGAGAAGGGGGAGATAGTAGAGGTTGGGACATGCTTGTCTGTGCTCCTATTTTAGGTGTGAAAGGAAAATGTGAGCGACCATCTCATCTTCCATCCAAAATGAGGATGCTTGATAAAAATGTCTAAAAGTAATACCAAAAATTGACATTTTGGGGAAAAATATATTCAAAAGTAAATAAACCATATTGGATCAGGATCACTGCAAGATTCTCCCATTTTATATAAGCACTTTACAAATGAGCCTACTTCTATCTTAATAAATAATAGAGTATTACAGCACAGGAAGAGGCCCTTTAGCCCATCTTGTCCACTTGGATCCTCAAGCACCTATCTACTCGAATTCCATTTTGGTTTACTTCCCAGCAGCTGGGTTGAGGCCTTGTATTTTACCTCGTTCAGGAATCCTTATTGTTTTACTATCTGATTTTGTCAATGATGGCACCGACTGGAGCATTAATATATGAAACCACTGAGTAAGAGAATGTAGGTTCACCTTGACTCAGTCAGAAGAGTTCCCAATTGCTATGCTTAAAGGGAGGCTTTAGATCCTTTGCTGGTGGAGAGCATAAAGAGGGTGAAGTGGTCCCCTTTTTGTAGACATGATTAAAATGTGAGAATAGGTCCCCCCCCCCCCCCCCCCCCCCGCCCACTACCACTGCTTCCCTAAACTCAAACTGTAATGTGCTATGTAGGAAAAAAGAGGGAGATGTATTACATTGTATAATGTATATTCTGTATCAACTATTTTGCATCTCCCTACAGAGCTTTCATGTAATTTTGTGACTTGTTGTCAGTTATTATCAGTTGAGGAAAACCATCGCAAAGATGTGGCAATCTTATTAATGCTTCCTTGACATTAACATTTATTAGTCTGAGAAACCAAAAATGATCAGAATCCTAAGTTCTGAGGATGTTAAGTATGTAATGTTAAAGTTACCTATTTCTTCAGTGATTTAAAACTGCAACAGTGTTTACTGCAATGAGTTTTAAATGCTTACATTTAGAAATTTCCTCCGAATAAATTGTGAAAAGGGGCGGCATGGTGGCTCAGTGGTTAGCACTGCTGCCTCACAGTGCCAGGGACCCAGGTTCGGTTCCAGCCTCAGGTGACTGTGTGGAGTTTGCACATTCTCACCGTGTCTGCGTGGGTTTTCTCCGGGTGCTCCGGTTTCCTCCCACAGTCCAGAGATGTGCAGGCTAGGTCGATTGGCCATGCTAAATTGCCCATAGTGTCCAGGGATGTGTAGATTAGGTGGGTTATAGGGGGATGGGTCTGGGTGGGATGCTCCAAGGGTCAGTGTGGACTTGTTGGGCCAAATGGCCTGTTTCCACACTGTGGGGAGGTAAAAGTGAGACCAAATGAAACTGTTCATAACCTTGCTGTTTCATTTTACCTAAAAATAAGCACCAACCACATAGCCACATCAACACTAAGGGCCAACTAGTAGCACTTATGTAACCATGCCTGAGTTTGCTCTTATCCCAGCTCATCTGCTGAAAGCCTCATTCATGGTTTCTTTACTGTAATTTTGACTCTGACAATGCATATGTGGGTGGTCTCCTGTAATCTACCGTCCAAAAGCTTGAGGTTATTTAAATTGTCCTTAAACTCGACAAGTACTGACCACCCTTCACCTGTGCACTCACTGACCTACACTGCTGTTGGTTAAGCTGCACCCTAATTTTAAAATTCCCACCGCTATATGGCAGTGTTCCATCTAAGCTGTATGGTTGTGCAACAATCCATCAAGAGCCATGCACTTAATTATTGCAGCTGTGCTCATCTTTGTAGCAAAATGGAGTTTACTGCCAGCCTGTTGTATGAACAAAATGCTGGCAAACTCCCCATACCAAGAAATTACAGATATAATACAAACCTGACATGATTAATTGGGTCACGTTAGTTAACAAAATCCATTGGTTCAGTTCCTGGATCCTGAAGCTGTGTCAACCCTTGTCTTTTCCATGGCCCACTTGTTGGTCATTCCGCACACCACTTCCCTTCATTACCTTTATCCCTCCTGGCTTCCTCCCTCTCAGTGCCCCTATCCTGAGACCATGTGGGATGGAGAGAAGGGAAAAGGACAGGTGAGCGAGTTGGGAATGGAAGCTGCATATAGGCAAATTTTGTGGGAAAGTCGAGGTGAGAAGGAGTGAGCAGCAGTCTTAGGAAGAAGGGGCTAATTGGATGTCAGAACACTGAGAAATAACGTGAAAGAGTTAATAAGAGGATTTTTGGGCCAATTAATAGTTAAAATAACCAATCTGGTTATTTTGCTGCAAAATGTATTGCAAGATTATTAAAGTAAAATTGATTACAGAAGCATTTGATTCATTAAAAAAGACAAGGGTATTTCTTGGTAGTTGGTGGAAAATTTCGGATTCCCAGCCCTAATCAAATAATAATGCCAAGATTCTTGTGAGGCTATTTTGTTAGACATTTTTAAATCGAGCATTTAAATATAAGGTTCTCATATCTGCGAAGAGACAATTAAGATGTGATGGTTATTGATGCTATTGTTCTTTTGAAACTAGATGCGCGTTTGTTGAGTTCAGTATCTCACCCTCCACCTCAAGGTACAGTGCTTTCATACCAATTTTCCTAATAACCGGCATACATTTACTTGTTAACTTGATATTTCAGTCTTAAAAGTTTTAGTAACATAACTTTATGTTGGCTTAAAATTCTGTCCAACAGTGCAATCGACCACCAAGAAAACTCTAGCAAAACCAGGGATAAGAAATGTTGTCCTCGTTGAAGGTGTCCGAACTCCATTCTTAATGTCCGGTACTACGTAAGTAATGAAGATTTATGTGATTTAACTCCGCACATTATGCTTGTGGCCAAATTACCTTTCAGAATGGAGGTAAAAGGTGAGCAGACCTCCATTCAAAGACTTACAGCCCCATTCCTAGATGCTGCATTTTTTGTCAGCATTCAACAAGGTTACTGATGGTGAGCTTGTGTGCAACATTTCCAACCTAGCCAACTCCATTGCAGGGATGGGCAATTCAGATCACCATGCAATTTTGATGGAGTTGGGCCAGCTCTTGCAGAATGTGTGGCTAATGGCTCACTAGAGGAATCAAGAAGTAGGGGAGATCTTTAGTCTGGTGTTAGGTAATTTTAAAAGATGCTCAGATGGTATGTTTTCTAAACAAGGGTCCCAACCCGAAATGTCAACTTTCCTGCTCCTCTGATGCTGCCTGGCCTGCTGTATTCCTCCAGCTCCACACTGTGTTATCTCTGACTCCAGCATCTGCAGTTCTTACTATCTCTCGATGGTGTGTTGCTTTTTTTAAAGTATTTGAGTACTTGTTTAAGGCTTTTGTGTAGGTTTAAGCATGTTTTCAACACAGTAATTGACGAAAGGACTCTACTTCAACTGTTAGTACAGTTGCCTTCTGACCAGCCCACCTTGACATTTGCTCAACTTGGCCTATCTCTGGCCTGTCGCTGCTTCCCCAGGATGGGTGTGCACTGCCAGGATGGAGGTGTGAAACAAAACCAGAAACTGCTGGAAAATCTCAACAGGTCTGGCAGCATCAATGGAGAGAAATCAGAGTTAATATTTCAGGTCCAGGGACCCTTCTTCAGACTGATAGTAACTAAGTAAAAGATGTTCTTTATTACAGAAGGTAGGGTGGGAAGAGGGGGTGAGAGTAAACAATAGGCAGAGATAGAACCCAAAGAGAAAGAAACAGACAAAGGAGTGGTTAAAGCTGCTAATGGAGACTATTGGTGTTTGACAATGGGTAATGTGTGGTAGCAGCCCATGTGATGACATGGCCTGGTTTATGAGGGTGGAGGAAAGCATGGGGAAGGGTGCTGAAGACCTTAAATTGTTGAACTCGATATTAAGTCCAGAAGGCTGCAGGGTTCCCAAGCACAAAATTAGGCTCTGAGCTTCACTGGAGCACTGCAGCAATCCCGAGACAGATGTTGGCCAGGGAACATGGTAGTGTTGAGGTGGCAAGCAGGGGTCTTTTTTTTTTTGTGTGAACAGAATGTAGGTGGTCTGCAAAGCAGTCACCCAGTCTGCGCTTTGTTTCCCCAATGTTTCCCACAAGACCACATTGTGAGCAGTGAATGCAGTAGACTAGATTGAGTGAAGTGCAGGTAAAACGCCGCTTCAGTTGTAAGATGTGTTTGGGGTCTTGGATAGTTAGAAACGAGGAAGTAAACGGGTAGGTGTTACACCTTCTGCAGTTGCAGGGGAATGTGCTGTGAGGCTGTGGGAACGTGCTGGAGGTGAAGAGGAATGGTCCCTGCAGGTGGCTGATAATGGAGGGAAGGGGAATATGTGTTTGATGGTGGCATCCCGCTGGAGGTGATGGAAATGGCAGCTAATGATCCTCTGGATGTGGATGCTGGTGGGATAGTAGGTGAGGACAAGGGGACCCTGTCACTGTTATGGGAGGGAAGAGAGGGGGTGAAGGCTGAAGCTGGGAAGATGAGTTGGACCCAGCTGAGGAGCTAGTCAATTATACTGCTGGGAAATCCTCGGTTGAGGAAGAAAGCCCCCGCACCTAGAATACATTACAGTGAAATGCCAACCCTAATATCTGCCGCACGAGTTCACCTCCACCATCCTGACAGCAATCTACATACCATCCCATGTGGATGTGAAGAATGTTTTGGATGAAATTTACACTGCTACAAACGTTATGAAGGCAAAATTCCCCAAAACTTTATTCATCATGGCTACTAACTTCAACCAATCCAACCTTGGGTGCTGCCAAAATACCACCAATGCGTCTCCTGCCCCACGAGAGGACCAAAAGTCCTGGACCACTGCTACGCAGCCATCAAAGAAGCCCACCCCTCCATTTCCTAACAAAACTTCGGAAAATCAGATCACAATCCTGTGTTCCTCCTCCCAGCTTACAAGCAGAAGCTGAAATGGGAGGATCCTTCACATAAAGTAGTACAGTGCTCGTCTGAGGCAGCGGAACAGCTTCTTCAGGAGTGCTTGGAATCCGAGGACTGCTCCATATTAAAGACCTCAGCAGACAATACACCACCACTGTCACGGACTTCATTAGAAAGTGCGTGGAGAACTGCATGCCAAAGGAGCCAATCTGGGTGCTCTCAAGCTGGAAACTTTGGATGAACCAGAAAATCCACTACCGACTGAAGACCAGGCATGCAGCATTCAAGTCGAACAGCCCAAACCTATATGGAAAATGCAGATATGACCTCCTCAAAACCATCGGAGGTGCCAAGAGGCATTACTGGACCGAGTTAGAAGCCTAACTCAACCATATGGACACCTGCTGCCTGTGGCAAGGCTTACACAACATAATTGGTTACATAATGAAGTACAGCAAGATTGTGAACAAAAACACACCCCCATTGGATGCACTCAATGCATTCTGTGCTCAGTTTGAGCAGAATGCCAACGGTGCAGCATCACCTCCGACAGCTGAGAATGCATTTGTTCCATCCGTCACTGCTGCAGACATCAGATCGGCCTTCCTGAGAGTCAATCCAAGGAAGGCGACAGGCCCGGACAGAGTCCCCAGCTGTTCACTTAGATTCTGCATGGACTAGCTGGCAAAAGTATTCACTGACATCTTCAACCTCCCCTTCCTATAAGCCAAAGTCCCTACCTGCTTCAACAAGACCACTGTCATTCTAGTACCAAAGAAAGAACATGCAATGTGCCTTAATGACTACCATCCAGGGGCTCTGACCATGAAGTGCTTCGAGAGGCTGATCATGGCCCACAACAACTCTAGCCTCCTAGCCTGTCGCAATCTCCTGCAATTTACCTCCGATGAAACAGGTCCGTCCGCAGCACATCATATTTCTCTAGCCCTACACTCATCCCTGGAACATCTGGCTGGCAATGTTAGACTCCTAGTCATCGACTACAGCTCTGCCTTCAACACCATAACCCCTCCAGAAAGATCTCAAAACTCCAAGACCCAGGTCTCACTTCCGCCATCTGCAGCCTGATCCTCAGCTTCCTGATCCATAGACCGCAATCAGTGCAGATAGACAACTGCACCACCTCCACAATAAGCCTCAACACTGGAACCACCCAAGGATGCTTTCTCAGCCCCCTACTGTACTCCCCGTACACGCACGACTGTGCAGCCAAATTCTGAATGAATGTCATCTACAAGTTTGCTGATGACAGCACCATGGTAGGATGGATATCGAACAACAATGAGTCAGAATACAGGAAAGTGATAGAGGGCTTGGTTTCTTGGTGCAATGATAACAACCCCTCTCTCAATGTAGGCAAAACAAATGAATTAATCATTGACTTCAGAAAGAAAGGAGGACGTGCCCCTATCTACATCAGTGCTGAGGTGGAGAGGATCAAGAACATTAAGTTCCTAGGAATGATTATGACCAGCAATCTTTCCTCGTCTTCCCATGTAGATGTGATGGTCAAGAAGGCACAACAATGCCTCTTCTTCCTCAGGCAGCTTAGGAAATTCACCATCTCAATAAGAGCCCTCACCAACTTTCATAGGTGCACCATAGAAAGCATACTGTCAGGGTGTATAACATCCTGGTACGGCAACTGCTCTGCCCAGGACTGTAAGAAACTACAAAAAGGTTGTGTGCACAGCCCAGGCCATCACTGAAACTATCCTTCCATCCATGCACCTCATTTACACTTCACATTACTGCGGGAAGGCTGCTAACATCATCAAATATCCATCCCACCCCATTAATGCTCTCTTACAACCTTTCCCATCAGGCAGAAGATATAGAAGTTTGCACACACGCACCAGCAGGTTCAAGAGCTGCTTCTTCCCTGCAGTTATTCAATTGATGAATGGACTCTCTAACTTGAAATAATGTTGATCTTGCTTTACGCACCTCCTGCACAGTTGTAACCTGTATGCCTTACTCTGTGTTTAACCACCGTGTGATCTGTATGACCTTGTTTGCTATGATCTGCCAAACAAAGCTTTTCACTACACTTAGGTACACGTAACTACAGTAAAGTAAATCAAATCAAATCAAGGTTGACATTTTCGGTGCTATTTCCATGTATTTATATACACAAGCTTAACCATAACAATCGAAGCCATTGAGTACAGTGAGAATAGGATTACTGGAATGAAAACATTAATATAAGGAAAAAGATCCTTCTCGATTTAGTGGAGCTGAAGAAAAATCTGTTTCTGGCGAGCAGACATGTTGAATTTTCAAATCATGAATATTTCAGTGCTGTGAGTAATTCTGTTTCACATCAGAATGGATGTTTAATATAACTTTTTAAAAACCTTATTGCATGTTGATAATGTGGAGTATCTTTACTCATAGATATGCAGATTTGATGCCGCATGACTTGGCCAGAACAGCTCTGCAGTAAGTAGATGATCAAATTTGGAATTCTTGTATTTACAGTAATTTTTTTCCATTTCAGAATGTTAGTTTCATTTTGGAAACTGAACATGTCTTTATTCATACAGGGGTCTACTTGCAAGGACCAATGTTCCAAAAGCAGATGTTGACTACATAGTGTTTGGTACTGTCATTCAGGAAGTCAAAACAAGCAATGTTGCTAGAGAGGTATGAGCCAGAATGCATTTGAAAAGCTACATAACATTTATAGTGCAAAATAAGATTTCATAGTAAATGGTTTAACATAACAGCATAGATACAGGATTAGTTAAGGAACAAGAAACAAACAGGCACAAATGGATCATTTTTCTAATCGCCAGTTTGTGATCAGTGCTGGGACTTCAACTATTTACACTTCATATTAGTGACTTGGATGAGGGAACCAAATATCTGTTTACTAAACTTGTTGTTGACATAAGGATGGGTAGGAAAATAGATTGAGAACATAGATTCAGCAAAGTGGTAAGTTGAGTGAGTAGGCAAAAATTGGTAAATGGAGTACAATATAACAAAATATGAACTTGTTCACTTTGAAAAAAGAAACCCGATGTAGGGGAAGATGACTCCCAATTGACAGCTTCTATGCTGTAAGTTGAGTCGTGTAGTTAGATATATCATTGCTCAGCTGCAGTGATAAGTCGATATAAAGTGCATGGGTAGATGATGGCCTAGTGGTATTATCACTAGGCTATTAATCCAGTGACCCTGGTAATGTTCTGGTACCTGGGTCCGAACCTGCCATGGCAGATGGTGAAATTTGAATTTAATAAATATCTGGAGTTAGGAGTGTATAGGTAGTTCCGCTATAACGCGTGTTTCATTTAACGCGAATTGGCTGTGACGCGATTAATCAATAGTGGATGTTGTTTGGATAACGCAAGCTTTCTGCTGTACCGGCATAGCGATTTTCTGTAGCAATTTCCCTACCGTGATTTTGGATGGCAATTTTCTGTAGCGCGAGGTCACACAAGAATGCAACTATCATATTATAGGAGAACTACCTGTAATGATGTCTATGAAACCATTGCCAATTGTCAGGGAAAGCCCATCTGGTTCATTAAGTCCTTTTTAGGGAATGAAACTGCCATCCTTACCTGTATTATGGGCCAGACCAGATCCCCTCAAAATACATTAAGAAAATAGCCTAGACAGTAACTACTACTTATTTTAAAGGCAAGTTTTGTTCCAGATGCAATTTGATTGGTCAAGTTATCAAATTTAAAGCAAAATACACTTGATTCATCCACTATAGTTTAAAATACAACAAACGAGAAAGAAGTTGGAATAACTTAACTCCATTGGAAAACTTAACAGAATAATAGATTATTAACGACTATTAATTAACTGTTCCAGTATAGTAGCAAAACATAAACACATGCTTGGCAAAGGGCAAGTTCTGAAAAATAGATTATCTTGCATGCAATTCTAGCAGCCGAGGAAGAAAACACCAAGAGAAAACTGTGTGTAGCAGGAAGAGATGTACTGCAGCTTTCAAAACCTGTTGAGACTCCAGCAACAACTGCTACTACTGAAATACTAAACTGAAAATCTTGGTTCTGTAAGAGCTTGACCACACCTGTTCAGGCTGCTTCTATTGTTATGACTTTAGAAAATAAAATACCAAAGCCCCTCAAGATGTTTATTTTACCAGTTTTCAATAGATCATTCTCCATCTTTGCCTTAAAGCCTCTCTTCAAAAGAAAAGGACAAAATACACCTTAAAGCTATAGTATCGCCATACCTGGCCTGGTCTACAGGTGTCTTTAGACCCACAGTAATGTCGTTGGCACTTAGCTGCCCCATGGGCAGTTGGGGATAGACAGAATATATGTTGAATAGAATAGAATCCCTACAGTGTGGAAACAGGCCATTTGGCCTAACAAGTCCACACCGACTCTCTGAAGAACATCCCAACCAGACTTATCTTCCCTACCTTATCCCTGTAACCCTGCATTTCCAATGGCTAATGCATCTAATTTACACATACTTGGACACTATGGGCAATTTAACATGGCCAATCCACTGAACCTGCACATCTTTAGACTGTGGGAGGAAACCAGAGCACCCAGCGGAAAACCACGCAGACATGGGGAGAATGTGCAAACTCCACACACAGTTGCCCAAGTTTGGAATTGAATTTGGGTGCCTGGTGCTGTGAGGCAGCAATGCTAACCACTGTGCCGCTCAGTGACACCCATATCCCATGAATGAATTTTCTTAAAGTTCCTTACAGTGCTGGAATAATGTGTCTTAATTGTAGATTTTTGAGGAGTTTCTCTAAGTGTTCCAGGTTCTATCAATCAAATATAACTCTACTAGTGCAAAGAATTCCCCACAAAATGAATGTTACGTGGACTGAGCTAACTCCAGTTGACACCTTGTTTTGAACAAATTCTGGGCAAGGTTTACCAATTTGTAATGGTTCCAAATAGAAATCCCAAAATCCTTTATCTCTGAGATGAGGCTTCCCTTAGTTAGTCATGGCACCCCCCAAATTGGTTCTAACAAAGTTAATTTAGAAATGATCCATTCCCTTTGTGGATATCTTTCTCCCAGATCCAAATGAACTTATGTTTTAAACCAAGTATTGGTGGAATGAACGCAGACAAGTGATCGAAGCTTCGTTGGGGGGGAATCTTTTGGGAACGATGCTATAAGTTTTAACTTGCTAATGGATAAGGATAAGAGTAGTCCTTGTGTGAAAGTACTAAACTGGGGAAAGATTAACTACGACAATCTTTAGGCAGGAACTGGGGAACGCAATTTGCTATGGCTGTTTGAGGGTAAATCCACATCTGTCATGTGGAATCATTTAAAGACTAGTTGAGTGAGCAGCATGGACCAGTTTGAGTTGAAGGGCCTGCTTCCATACTGTATTACTCTATGAATCTGAGTCTATGATTACAGTTCAGGGATAGCATGTTCCTATGAAAATGAAGGATGTGGATGGAAAGATTTGGGAACCTTTGATGACAAGAGAAATTGAGAGCTTAATTGGAAAGAAAAAGGAAGTATATGTAAGGTTTAAGAAGCTGAGGATAGACACAGCCCTTGACGAATCTAAAGAAAACAGGAAAGAACTTAGTCAAGGAGTTGAGGTTAAAAATGGCCATGAAATGACCTTGGCAAACAGGATTAAGGAAAATCCCAAGTTGCTTTATACATTATATAAAGGGTGAAAGGGTAGGTCCACTCCAGTCCAAAGGAGGAAATTTATGCGTGAAACTGGGGGATGTGGATGAGATTGTTAACGAATGCTTTGCATCAGTATTCACAACGGAGAAAGACATGGTGGATACTGAGCCTATAGAGGAGTTTGGTGATATTCTAGGGCATGTGGATATAAGAAAAATGAGGTGCTGGGTGTTTTGAAAAGCATTAGGGTAGTCAAGTCCCCAGTATCTGATGGGATTTTGGTGGTTCTGGGGATGGGGGAGCAAACAGGAAATTGTTGGGGCCTTGAATGGAATCTTTGTATTCTGTTTAGTCACAGAACAAGTTACAATGTTGTTCCTTTGTTTAAGAAGGGCAACAGGGATAATCCAAGATATTACGGGCCAGTGAGCCTCTCAATACTGGTAGGAAAATTATTGGGGAAGAATCTCAGGGGTAGGATTTACTCACATTTGGAAAAATATGTACTTATTAGTGACAGGCAGCGTGGCTTTATGTGGGGAGGTTGAGTTTCAGAAATTTAATTGAGTTTTTTGAGCAAGTGACAAAGATGATTGAGGGCAGGACAGTAGATGTTGTCTGCATGGACTTTAGTAAGGGTTTTGACAAGGTCCCTTATTGCAAGCTGATGTGAAAGGTCAGGTCACATGGGATTCTTGGTTGAGCTGGTTAGATGGATGCAGAACTGGTTTGGTCATAGAAAGCAATAGTGGTGGAAGGGTCTTTTTCAGACTGGAAATCTGTGACCAGTGGAGTCCTGCAGGGATCAGTGTAATATAAATGTAAATGATTTACAATATACATGATTTGGCTGAGAATGTAGGTGGTCTGATTAGTAAGTTTGCGGCCAACACAAAGATTGGGGGAGCTGCAGATAGTGAGGGGGATTTCCAGAGGATACAGCAGGATATGGATAGTTTGGGGACTTGGGCGGAGATGTAGCAGATGGAATTTAATCAGAGCAAAAGTAAGGTGTTACATTTTGGAAGGTCTAATGCAGGAAGGAAGTATATTGTAAATGGCAGAACCCTTAAAAGCATTAATATTGAGAGGGATATAGGCGTGCAGATCCACAGTTCCCTAAAAGTGACAATACAAGCGGATAAGGTGGTGAAGACGGTATATGGCAGTTTGCCTTCATGGGTCAAGGCATTGCATTTAAAAATTGACAAGGCGTGTTGCAGCTATATGGAACTTCAGTTAAGCCACATTTGGAATATTGCACTCAGTTCCATTTGGCGCACTGCCAGAAGGCTGTAGAGGCTTTGGAGAGGTAAAGAAAAGATTTACCAGGATGATGCCTAGTTTGGAGGGTATTAGCTACAAGGAGACATTGAACAAACAGTTTTCACTTGAACATTAGAGGCTGAGGGGGCAACCTGATAGAGATTTTAAAAATTGAGAGGCGTGGATAGTTGGAGTTTTTTTCTCAGGGTAGGAATTTCAATTACTCAGGAAAGCTTAAAGGAAGTACATGGGGGAAGTTTTTTTACACAGAGGGTGAACGTGCTTGGAATGCACCGCCAGAGGAGGTGGTAGAAGCAGATGCAATAGCAACTTTTAAGAGACATCTTGACAGATATGAGTGGGTAGATATACAGACAGTGTCGAGGCAAAATGTTTTCAGTTTAGAGAGGTGTCATGTTTCAGTGCAGGCTTGGTAGGCCAAATGCCCTGCTGCTGCGCTGTGCTGTACATTTCTTTGTTCATTCCTCATTGTTCTTAAAAGGAAACAAGTTAGCCAGACTTTGTTGAAATGACAAAAGATATGAGTTTATTAAGTACTGAATACAAAAAAGAAATAGTAACACATCTAATGTAAACCCAGATTAGTTGTAAGATGAGTCCGAAATCCAAGTTTTTCTCAAAAAAGATATACAGGTCAGTCTGCTAATTGTTCATGAAGGGCAGGTGTGAAGAGGTGATGTTATTAGACAGCACCAGTAACATTGACATTTGTTCAGTTAATTTAGAGATTCTTGGTTTTGTAGTTTGATTGAAATTCCTTTGTCCTCATTCTTTTCAGACTAGATAGCAGCTGTGTGTGTGTGTCTTTCTCCTTTGTTTTAACAGCAGTGCAAGACGGCTTAAATGGCTGCCTCAGAGCTATGACCCTCACAGTACTCTCGTCTATGCCCTAGGATGATTGGCCAAATAACACATGGACAAATGTTATGGTCACTTTTTAATTTTTTAATACATCGTTAGAGCCCTTGCTGATATTTTCATTAATTTTTATTTTATTCTCTTATCAATTTTGGTTTGGAACTGAGCTAAAGTTTATTTTTGGTTGAATCTGGCTGTTGATGCAACAATGCGCAGATTTGAAAGCTCTCTGCCTAAGCTACCATGAGAGGCTCTTGAAAGCTCAGAATAGAAAAATAAAATTATACATATTCGTGCCTTTATTTGTGTGAATTGTAAAGGTGATCCTGATAACATCTTCAGGAAATCAACCAAGAAACCATCATCTATACCTGTCGAACAATGCACTACATGGACCCACTGGCCAGTTTTGTTACTTAGGTTTGTTTATTATCCCTTAAGTATGTGCATTCAACTGTCTTTTGTGTGAATGGGGATTAAAATAAAAGTTGTTAGGCTTAAAGTGTACACCAATTAGATTACTTTGTTGTTTCATTTTCTCTCCGCTAAAGTTACGATCTTGCTATTAAAATTAGGACACAAACCAAGGTCTGGAAGTGATTATTTGCACAGTCTGGGAATGGTTATTCAGAAATCTG